GTAAGGTCTTACAGAGGTTATATATAAAAACTGTTGAATCTAGCTCAAAAATATAACTATGAAATATATTCAAGTATCAGAAACTAAATGCAAGAACCAAAACCAGAAAAAACTACAATAGAAAAATATACTTTTAGTATGAAAATTGATACAATTTAGTTTATCTCTTGATAGCGACGTTGTAAGAATTAATTTGATTACGGGTTACTTTTCTTTTTTATCTTTGATTGTTTTTTATATAATGATGTTGTACCCTATAGTTATTACAAGTTTGTCTGAAAGATATCAATTGTAATTTGCATCGATTAGTTAAAACGAAAAGTTTATTTTCAAAAAAACATTGTTGAAAATTCAATCCAAATAGCTATATCTCAATTTTTATTGATTAAGTCGATTGCAATAAATAATTTTAACTTTGCAATTCAGTTTATATAATTTTTATAAATAAGTATTAGACAATGTTACAGTATTTATAATATTATATTTGAAAACATTTAATATTCCTCGAACATTTTTTTTATTCCTTTAAATAACTGAATGCGGAATAAAAAATTATGTAATTACTAAATCATTTTTAAGATAATGTGATAATTTAAAAAAAATTCTACTGTGGTTGGATGTGTAGTTTTTGACTGCATTGAACACAGATACACAAACATACATTCAATTTTATATAATGTGGATTTTAAAAATATTTATATAAACCACTAAGTTTTCAACACAACTTAACGAATTCATAATACATACCGAATAATACATTTCGTTGGGTTACGGGAAGTTCCAGCAATTTGCCTTAAGGCACGATGCCATTCACAACTAGTTATTTTTATTATTTTACTAGTTTATTTTATATTCTATTCTGTTGTAACATAACATGATATATGATCAATAAATAATGCTAAACGTCAATAAAACAAGACATGTTCAATCCCATATTCCTTGGAAGTATTAAATTAAATCGTTCCATAATTAATGAAAATACGGGGTGCCGTCTCATGCTATACAAGATTTATTATGTCGCAAAAGATAAATACACGGTTCGTCGCAATGCATGAAAAGCGAGGTGGTAATTAAATTTCGCTGATTAATTCATAAGCGTACATATTCGCATATATTCCTCTCGGTGTTAATATGAAACACATTCCCATATTGAACAATTGCCATTCGGTATGAATAATATAATATAATATAATAATCATTGCGAACGAACGCAGGTAACATTGCGGGCAGGGAAAACGAGAGAAACCGGTGAAACTGTTTTGAAAATGAAAGGCGCGCGTTCGTGGAATTACTCCGAATGCTAATTTAGCGAACACGATTGTGTGATGAGAAGCTATTTGATGTAAAATACGATTTTATAACTAGTTGTGTATGGCATCGTGCTTTAAGGCTAATTGCTGGAACTTACCATACCGTAACGAAATGTTCGACGAATATTAAATGTTTTCAAATAGTTTATTATGAATACTGTAACATTGTCTAATATTTATAAGAATCATATAATCTGAATTACAAAATAAAAATTATTTATTCACAGTTAATGAACTTTATCAAGAATTGAAATTAAAATCTGAATTTTTTTCGATATACAAAAAAAAAAAATTAGCTAGTTTTTTTGAATCATTTAAATCGGATGCTCCATTCTAGCAAAAACTCGATTTAATTACTCTTTGCTGTAACAGTTAGTGCTGCCTTTGCCAGAAACTAATCAGTACATCTCCCTATCAATAGGAATCGGATGTTTGTTGAACCATTTAAATCGAAAACGTGGACGAAAAAATGCGGACATACAAAACACACTACACATCAATTTTTCTGAGGTATGCCAAAACGTTCAGAAACCTTCAAAACGTGAATATATGCAAAAATTTGTATTTTTGATAATCAGCCCATTGCTATAACTACCGGGATGTTAAAAATATAATTTATAAAAGAAATAACATAAACATATTGAAATATATAACTAGTTGTACATAGCATTTTGACTTTAGGCAATAAAATTAGTTCAACTGTTTATTTTAAAAATAAAGATATCATTAAAAATGAATTTTAATTGATATCTTTGAAAAATACTATAAGTATGTATTTGCCATGGTATAAATTTAATCACTTTGTTTAACATTTCATTTCATCCTTTTTGTATTCTGAAAATGAATTGTGAGTGTGGGCGAAAACTGTAATCAGTAGCTACCAACGAAACTACACAGAAAGTGCATATGCTTCACTATTCTGATTAGAATCGGTTAAGTACGCGACGAAATTCAAAACATTCCATGAATTTTTATAATTCAACTACTTGTCGTAGGCCTATAATGTTATAGTCTAGTAAATCTATCATTACACAAAGTTTCATTAAAATAGTCAAAAGAATTGAATTACGAAGAGGGCTCAACCGATCTTTACCAAAAACTAATCAACGTGATACCCAACCAATATCTTTCGAATAGTTTTTGATTTTTTAAAATCGATTTAAAATTTTGTGGACAAAAAAACTAATTAATGCTAGTCGTTATCGAAAACATCGAATGACTTTTAATTTTTTAAAATTGGTCTAGCAGTTTCTGAAAAACCTAAAGAACCATAAAATTAAGAACCACAACCAGTAATGCACATTGTTTCTATACGAAATGATTATAAAAAAGTTTTTTTTTGTTATAATTTATTTTTGTTAATCAAGACTTTAATGTCTTAAATAAAAAAGTATACTGGATTTATATGCTTATTCTTATAATAAGTTAAGTTTAGTCAGTCGATATTTATATTTACACATGCCTGAATTTTTCATGTCTAATGAATACCATGTATGGTCCAGATCTTAATAGAAAAGCCATAATGAGAGATACATGATGGACATGTTAACAATTTGCCTAAGCATTCCATTCTGAAATCTTTTTATTAACATGGATATTCTTGCTTAATATCGCAACACCGAATTTCGGTATAAAATAATAAATGGTCGTTTGCCAGAAGGCAGGTCCATGGTGTGAGAGCACCACAAATCAATGATTTGCTTTTCCTTCCTTGTTTATTATTATCATTACCATCATTTACTTTTTGTACACGTGTATGCATTTTCCTTTTCAAACTCCTGAATTTCATAATTACCTACTGGTTCTGTGATTTGGCTTTCAGATCTCTGCATTTTTTCTCCTCGAGTATGTCGTCAATTATCTGCATTCTTCTTCTTCCCAGTCTCTTTAGAACTTTGGTATCATTTGTATATAATATTCATAATATTTTTTGGAAATTATAATGACCAAGGTACCTTATCAAAATATGCTGTAATAGATTTGCATTTCTTTTTCTCTGCCAGCTAATCTCCACGAAAAGAGCATGGCTTATGCTAGGATAGTCCATAAATGAATATCTAAAAATTCACGAATTTTACGTATTGCTACAATTTTGCATGCATTCAGATGCATTTGCTTTTAAATTACCCATTTATCACCCGGTGTATTATTATTGATATATTTTCATGAAATCACAAATATAGCCCGAAATGCTTTCGAGCTATTGAAGTAGAGAAATAAATAGAATTTCATGTATTTCTGAAAATCTTTTCCCTTGAGTGAGATTTACTTTGCTTTCTATAATAGCCGTATATATCCCACGTACTCAAGTTTTGTGATAGAATAAACAACACAAAGCGCAGTATGTTCTATGTGCGAAAAATATCTTACGAGGCGAAGGATTTTATTTAGCGTGAAAGGCAGACAAAATGCGTAGATGAAATTTCATGTTTTTTGGTTTATATTTCAAATGTGGTATAACAACGTATAATTATAATAATATATAGTCGTACAACATTCAAGCATAAATTATCAAGCAAACATGTTATCAAATTTAAAACCATATTTATATTTATACTCTTGAAAATTAAAGTTAATTTTATTAAAATTAAAATTTAAAAATTGCGCCTGGATTCGATATGAGACTCTAAAGTGAAGTCAATCAAAACTGTGAAACGCGGTCATGGTAAATAAGTGAGCAGAAAAAGTGGAAAAATTGGGATCTTAAGTTACTAAAAATGGACTCTAATGAGTAAAGTAAAGGATGTTTAAAGGATGAAAGGAATAACTTATCTAGATTCATTTTGGAAAACGATGTAGTCTTATAATAACCAAGAAAATATCGAAATAACCCTATTACACGAAGTCATCAAATGAACAAAAATTGTTTTCAATTCAATGAAAAGAATGAGAGTTTAGTGGATTACTGACTAGAAATATAAAAGCGAAATAATCCACAAAATTTGGAAATACTATTTGCAAGTAATAAATTAAAAATATCGAGAGAAAATAGAGAATCTCGAGAGAAAAATAGTGCACATGTGAAAAAAACGTATGAGTACTTAATTATATTAATATAAATAATTATATTAGAAATGTTTATAAATATTGCATTTTTAATTTCAACTCGCAATAAAATGTTGTATTTTTTCTTATTATTTATATGCAAGCGAAGCAAATAATTGCAAGTGCAAGCGACCAGATTATTGTTTCTAATAAACTTGCTAAACGCTTTATGAATATAAATACAACTTCCATTTCTTAATAATTTGTGTTGGTGTGAGTAATTTGTTATTAACCTTGAAAGTTTTGTATAACAAAGAAGACTATCAACTATTCAAAAATATATTTTTGACATAATACATGGAATTCTGTTCCCTCAGGGAACCATTTCTTGTTATCGTATATTTGCCCCAGAAGTCAGTAGCAGTATAAAAGACAAAAAAATTAAACATACTGCACATTACAAGTTGAAGTTAACAAAGGTAAGAACTTCTCATAAATTAAATTAATATTTTATAAATTTTAAGTATTGTGAATTATGTGATTGCTAAGAAAATATTTTTATAATATGTATGTGCTATCAACATTACGCGATTATAATAATTTGTGTATCAACGATTAAAATCCGTTTTAACAATTTGTGGATTGAAATAGTTTTTATGATATTTGGTCGATAAATCTATTATAGTCTCTCACACTCACTTACAGATGAACAGGTTCCTTGTAATCTGTTGCTGCTTAGGCGCAGTATTGGCGGATTTTCCTTATCCGGCCGCTATTCCTCTGGATGAACATATCGAAACTGTAACTATCAATGAAGAACTGAAACCGTATCCTGCTGCCATTCCAATTCAGCATTCAGTTTCCAGCGTGCCAGAGGAAGAATTAAAGCCTTACCCAGCACTTATTAGTGAAAAATATGAAGATTCGAAACCATATCCAGCAGCAATTCCTTTGAAAGAGCAGACAGAGGAAGATTCAAAACCATATCCTGCAGCTATTCTTGTACAAGATTATGCTGCACCTACAGAACAGTTAAATGAAATACCAAAAATAGACTTGCCTGCCGTTTCTAGATTGCCTCCTCACAATTTTCCAAAGATTCAATTGCCTGCGGTTAAACCCTTAGTAAGTTCTTTTCCTAGCATCGCATATGGTGTTCCATCTGTAGAGTATGCATCACCCATCAAAATATACGAACCTCCAAAAGAACAATTTTATCCTTCAGTACAAGTATTTGGTCCTCCAAAAGTTGATTTACCAGCTATAGTCAAATTACCATCGCATGACTTGCCTAAAATTGTGTTGCCCAGCGCAACTTCATATCCTTATCCTGCTGCCAGCCCTGTGGAGAAGGATGAAGAGTCAAAACCTTATCCACCGCCTACTCCTGTTGAAGCATACGGTCCGCCAAAAGAAGAAATTAATGAGATATCTAAAATTAATGTGCATGCCGTCATAAGATTACCTGCATATGAATCGCCAAAAATTGAGTTACCTTCAATTACTCCCGTAAGTTCGATTCCAAGTGTTGAATATGGGGTACCTGCTGTAGAGTATACAGCACCCGTCAAAGTCTACGGACCACCCCAGCAGATTTATGGTCCACCAAAGGTAGATTCACCAGCAGTAATAAAATTACCATCACATGATTTGCCTAAAATTGAATTGCCTACTACCCCTATTCTGTCTCCTTACCCCTCTGCAATTCCTTTGAAAAAAGTTGAACTTTCAAAGCCATATCCACCACCGACTCCTGCTCAAGAATACGGACCACCGAAACAAGAGTCAATTGAAGTAGCGAAAATTGATTTGCCTGCTGTATCTAGATTACCAGCACATAATTTGCCAACAATTCAGTTACCATCTTTAATAAGTTCTTCACCGAGCATCGAGTACGGAGTTCCAGCTCTAGAAATCACTTCACCAATTGAAGTTTACGGACCTCCTGAACATGAAGTTAAACCTTTGGAGCAAGTCTATGGACCTCCTAAGATTGATCTGCCAGCAGTAATCAAGTTACCTGCACATGATTTACCCAAAATTGAATTACCTGAAAAAATTGAGTACCCCTATCCAGCAGCAATTCCTGAATCTGGCCCGCCAGCGAAAGAATACGGCCCACCAGCGAACGAAGAAATCAAAATTGACGTTCAAGCTGTAACTAAATTGCCTTCCTATAACTTACCCAAGATATCTTTGCCCGCATACTCCCCCTTGGCAAGTCTATATCCAGCTTTAGAACCAGCTAAAGTTGTGGAATATGGACTTCCAATAGTAAATTATGCACCAGCTAAAGTTTATGGGCCACCAATGGAAGAATCATATGCTCCTTCAAGAATTGAAATACCCGCTGTTACAAAATTGCCTTTACACAATTTACCTAAAATTGAACTTCCTTCATATACGTCAACATTAAATACATATCCGGCTGTTCTGCCTTCCAAAGAGTATGGTATTCCAGCAAAGGTCTATGGTCCACCTGTTGAGATCTATGAGTCGCCGAAAATCGATTTACCGGCTGTCACAAAATTGCCAGCGCATGATTTACCCAAAATACAGTTACCAACTGTAGAATACATTAGACCAATTCAAGCGTATGTTCCACCAGCAGAAACTTACGGACCTCCAGCAGAAACTTATGGACCTCCAGCAGAGACTTACGGACCTCCTGATACAGAGGAAATAAAAACACCAGTAGAAGAATACGGTCCACCAAAAGTTGATTTGCCTGCCGTTACCAAATTGCCAGCACACAATTTACCTATTATTCCAACACCTTCCCAACCAATAGAAGAGCCCAAACAGGAACCTGCTAAAGAATATGGCCCACCAAAAGAGGATTTTGTTCCTATAACACTATCGGCATCGTACCCGACGACTCCGATTTTTCCACAACCACTTTTTGAATACTCAGAAATTATTTATGGACATCCTGAAATCAATTACGTAGGACCAATATCAAGTTTTCCTGGATATATCTACCAATCTCCGTCGACATCATACACTGTTGAGAATATTGAGAAGTTCGAGGCTCCTGCAGCTCCATTAGGAACTCCATTCGCGGAATATGGACCTCCAAAGCAATAGTTTAAATTTTAAGCTAATTGAAATTCAGTAGAAAAAATTATTAAGTTTTACATGAAAATGAGAAGAAACGGCTGAAAATGTAAAGGCAAACGCGCTTGTGTTTAACGATCTACTCTCATTCTCACAATTAAGCTACTATTTTTATAATAATTTTAGCAATAAATTTTATGTTTCATTTAATGTTATGTCATGTCGGACAAAGTGCAATACAATTTTTATATATCAATCAATACAAATAAAATTAATCACAATTTTTACGTTATAGATATGAGTCATTTGTTGTACTTTTTTGTCTGCTTGACTATTATTAAAACTTCTGTGCATATTAGTATATAATACGATATTAATAAATTCTTCAGTATGATATGTTGGTTTTATGTTTTTTCAGATTTCTTTATTTTAGTTGTTCAAGTATGAACTGTTAATAGATAATAGGGTTCTACATAATGCTCATGTTTGTTAAATTAATTGAAATGAGTTTTATTGTTTCAATTTATACCTGGTCCTTTTTATACCACATAAGTGGGGCAAAATCGAACTGCCGAGGAAAAAGAGGTGCAATATGTTTTTTTTTAAGTTTTGAGGAAACTTTCAAATATTGTCTAATTGAATGTCTCAAGTTTACTTTGAATTTTTGGTGGTGGATTTTTTTACCCGCGAATCTTTAGGCGCCACTCCACCTGCATATTTTTATAATATTATATGTTGATAATTAAAGAAGGAAATTGATAGTGGTGTAATATGGAAGATAGAACTTTATGTTTAACATATAAATATATGCTTTTAGTCCAAAAATTTTGCACAAACCGCTGAGTGAATCATTTCTACTTTTTTTGTATAATGAAATGATATATCAGTTTTATTTAATATTGTATTATTTCCGTATTCTGTTTAAAGTGATAGTGTGTTCGTAATTTATTATCATCCGCACAAAAGCTGCGATACATTCCTCTATAATATATCGGTTCTTCCTATGACATGATCCTCTATAAATTATATATGGCTTACATTTTTGTCGGGTCGTTGTTTCTGGTATTAGAGCTTTTGCTGGTGAAAATTTATACATTCATTTCATTCATTTGTATTCCTTTATAAGTGTCAAAAGTATTAATTTTGAATGTTTATTATTACAAATTTGCACTGTTTTGCTAATTTTATGTTTTCTCGACGTTTCAAGTCATTCTGAATCGAATAAAACCAAATGTGGAAAAAGCACTTTTCGTCGACGTTTTCTCAAAAACGGCTTCTCAGAATCTCGATGAGGACTATCGTTGGTCAGATTTGTGCAACGATTTTTCGTCAACGTTTTTAGCCCATAATTTTGAACCTACTTCAAATATTTAACAACTATTCTTGAGATATTGGTTGGGAATCGCATTGATTAGTTTTTGGTTATGATGGGACGGCCTTCATAATTAAAGGTTTAAAAAATTTTTTTTGACGAATTTATTAAAAACTTGCGATAGATATGCTGGTCTGAAGTCACATTCTAAAATATTATAGGCCTACGATAAGCGGTTGAAATATAAGAAAATCGCCAAAGTTTAGAATATCGCCAAAACTTATTGATTCATAATCATAAGTCTATATTAGATTTACCTATTCTAATCAGAAACTGACCACAGAACGTGCATCTGCCGAAGCATATACAGATTCAGTGCTATTTTGTAGGTAGCTACTGATTACAGTTTACGTCCACACTTAAATAAAATATATTCTTAGAAGCCGATATGGATCAAATGAGTTCTGTTTACCGAATTAATTAAATGTAAATTTAATTAATACAATTACATATATTATAAATATGTTTGTAACATGCCAATTGGAAATAGTATTAATTAATTTTTAGTGAAAGCGAAAATTTTATTTGAGTAAACATTTAAACTAATTTTATCTAAATACCTGAATTTTAATTCTTTAAAAAATTACGTTTAAAATTATTCTTCAGTTTTTTCCAGTTTAGTTCAATGTAAATTTTAAAGTCATTTAACTTGAAAATTAAAAAAAAAGTTAAATTTGATCGTGGACACATTAATTTCTGAAACTAGTGAATTAACAACTAATCATTTTGTCGATATCAATGGAAGATATTTTGATATATTTTTGATTGTAGAAATTAAATTGTAATACATATTTTATTTTTACAATAGTTTGAGTAACATCAAGCAAGAAGGAAGAAAGAAGCAATTGTGTAGTTTTGCAGTTATTTTTTCTTCATAAACTGTCCTTGTCTTTGGCTTCGTAAACTAATAGTAAATTTATAGCCACATTTTGTAAACTAGCCACTTACAATTATTTTATTTTTTTGCTTTTTTTTATTCAAGCACGATTTTTAAAATCTATAAATTTATTTCTGTATACACTACTCGACCGATCTGAGTACTTCTGTTAATTGTGCAGTGAAAACACATAATAAAATGATGAAACACATGTCCATTGACATATTGTCTATATGATGTTAATATAATTGCAAGAAATTTTTTTTTTTAATAGAAGTCTACTATTTTTTTTCATTTTTCATAAAAATCCTTTATTTTCGTTTTCTTATAACCACAAAACTTAGGAAAACTAAATTCTCAATAAAAAGCATACGGTGGCCTTCCGGTATAATAGATTATGACATGTTTTCGGCTGAATTGGCAGCGCACGTGACTTTTCCTTTTCTTTATGACATTCACGTAAACGAGGAAATATAGTTCCATAACTTATGTTCGGCAGTGACTTTTGGAACTTTTGGTCACGTAATGTGTGTATCAAGATGAGGAAATGGGTGAAACTATCATTCATCTGGAATGATCGAGAAATCTTGCGAAAAAAATAAAACTGTAGGTACATATTTAGGAATAATAATAGATACTTTAACATAGATACATTTATTCAGATAATTTATAGTATTTATGATATTGTTTCGTAATACAATACAAAAAATTAAACTATCTATCTAAATAAATACTACTAAAAATAGTAGTCAATATATTACATATAATTAATTTTACGCATTATTAACATCTTTGTAAGAATTCAAAAATTTACATATTGATCTATTTATTTATATATTCAAGTCAATATCTATTATAACATTATAGCAATATAATGCGCCCATTTTCACATAGAATCGGACACATTCATTCTGGTATTTACGGTTTATCCGCCATTTACTTATCTTTTTGATAAGTATGACAGATAATTACTTAAAAATCAAATTAAATATTAAAATGTGTGTGAAAAAATTAAATGTTATCTTCAAAAAGTGTATTGTAGTATTTTAAAATCGTTCAAATATATATTTAAATCTTAATGTCTTAAAGATATTTTTTAATTAATTCAGAGGGTCTCGAAGACATTAAGACATTAAGATTTGAATATTTTAATAAAAGATTTAAATCATTATTAATTAATATTTAAATAAATTAAATATTAAGATTTAAATATATTAAATATTAAGATTTAAATATTCTAGTAAAATCGTGTAAGTTACTTATAGGAAACTATTAAGGTTAATAAATGCAACCTGAAAAAAATGTGTGTGATGATTTATACATAGAACATTACAAAGTAATACAAACAAACTATAGAGTAGGTAGCTTTTGCTATGATTTACTTCAATTTATTCACATGTGTAAGTCATAATAACTGAAAATATATTAATAAGATGATTTTTGATTAGATTGGCAGTTAATTTTTGTCTCAATTTTTATTTCTTATATCATAGTTTTATATAATCCATTCTTTAGAAGTAACTTTTTGTTGAATACTAAATTTTATTTTGTAATGGTTTTTTATTATTCAATTATATATATTTTATATTTATTCATTTTATGATATTATAGCCAATATTATTCGTTTTTACTCATCTTAGATTTATTGACTACCAGTAGTCTTTCATTTAAGAAGGAACTATAATAACATATTTATCAAGGAAAAATGCGATTATTTGGAATAACCATAGTGGGATACAAATTTTTAAAAGGACCGCTCACGAATAAATTGTTTGGTCCTCTTATTGGGGTCATCAGTACATGACACTTGAGCTCCAAGGAAATAAATCATACATCGTAACTAGCCTTTCGGGGATCAAAAAGAGAGGTCTTTGTAGTTCCTTTATCGATAAATCCTTTGATCTGTAGATAGACTTCTTCCTTCTCCATTTACCTGTGATTTTTTTAGTTTTAAAAAGTAGATAGTGTATCATGTAAAAGCAAATCATTATTGACAGGTTTAAATTTTCTTTACTTGGCCTCGATTGATCTACCCTGTGCTTCTTGCAAAATATGTCATGCCATTTTTACGTTTTGTAAGCATGTCATTTTCAAATTCAAAAAAATCCATTGAATGTCTGATGATAGCAATAAAATATTCATTAATTTTAACAGAAATAATTACTAATAATAATGAATAAGTAAACATGACAAAACCACCTTCAAAATAAACTTTAAAAGGAGCGATACTCGTTTGAACTGATTCGACAAGACTGTGACAATGACGCTCAACATCTGACAGGATTGTGATTATGGTTTCCTTAACCTTATACAGTTGCGGAAATGTTATTATATATAAAGCTAGCCAATTTTTAAATATGACCACGGTATCATTTTGTACATCTGTACAATTTTGCCTATAATTTTACTGTCTATTTTCAAAATGTATAGTATATTCAAATAGAAATTGCAGTAAAAAATATTATTTTCAACATCCAGATGATTTGCCGGATGTTGTGTAAAAATCGCTTACTCTTAGATGCGAATTCTTTGACGATGTCTATAATTTTTTCTGTTTGAATATAAGTGTATTTTTTATGGATGAACTTGAAATTCCTCATTAAAATTCGCCACTCGCGAACAGAGCAGAAATGAAAGAGCAACAGATAATTTATTTTTAATAATTCATCGTACGATAACACTGGGATTCATTCATTCTTAATGCAAACACTGATTTAATTATGAGAACTGGCAAGGTCGAGTTTTCTACTTACATAGAAAGTTCATTATTTGCTGAATGGG